CTGTCTTTCAAATGGTTGTGGGACGGTTTCTTGCATAATAATCCCGATGAGGGTACTTTGTAGCGATGCATCTTCAGTTTCTTTCGCTTGGACAGTTGCTTTTCCAAGTCCTTGACTCTTCCAGAGAGACTAGAAATGGTAGTCAACTGTTCATGACCTGCTTTGATCAATTTCTCCATCATCTCTCTCAATTTTTCGTTCTCTTCCATCAGGTTCCTATTGCTCTCTGTCACGTCACTGCCATTATGTGATCCCTGGTTTGTAGTGGGAGATGCTGGTTCAGTAACTCCTGCAGGTATGAATGCCATCCTGTCTGGGACGTCACATTCAGAAGCTGCATTTTTCTCATTCCCATCTGAGGATTCTGATTCGTGCACTTCAATATGCTCCTCTAGCTGAAATTGCTTCGCGTTGTATTCTCGTGCTAGGGTTGCTTTCCTCTCTGTAGGCATATCTAAAACCTCTTCATATGTAGATGAGTTCTTAGGATCATTACCTCCAAAGGCTTCAGGTACTCTATTGTCGATTTCATTCTCTCCTTGAAAAGGTTCTCCCATTTGCAGTTTCAACTCATCAGGAGTCTCTGTAGGTTCATTGATCTTTGCCCCAGCGTCCTTCGGTAGTCGAGTACACTTGTAAGATTCAGCAATGGCATCTTTAAGCTTGTCGTCCACCATCTCTTCTGACCCAATCTTATCCCCTGCTCCTTCAGGTTCTTTGATCTTAGATCCAGTGTAATATGGTGGTTGAGAGGGGCATTCATCAGATTCAGTCATGGAATCTCCTAGCTTTTCTTCCACAATCTTCTCCCGTAAATCAGCTCCAGCATCTCCAAGTTCGTCATCCATCACATCCTCCGATCCATTCTTATCATCCCCTCCTTTAGGTTCGCTGATCTTAGGTCCTGTGGTACATGATGGTTGATAAGTGCATTCATCAGGTTCAGGTATGGCATCTCCAAGCTTGTCTTCCACCACCACCTCTGATCCAGTCTTATTATCTGCTGCTTTAGGTTCTTTCATTTTGGCTCCAGTATTCTGAGATGGTTGAGAAGTGTGTTCATCAGATTCAGCTCCAGCTCCTCCAACATCTCTGAGCTTGTCTACCATCACCTCCTCTGATCCAATCTTTTCATCTGTTTTATCGTATATCTTAACAAATTCATTGTTGATACTCAAGTTTCCTTCAGCTTGTACCTGAATGTCATTTGATTTAGATAACGGCTCCTCACACAGTTCAATGTCTACTTTGTTTCCATCACGTCCATTATTGTCCTTGAGTTCTGTAGTGACTGACTCTGCCTTTGATCCTTCCTCTATCTCCTTCGCTTGCTCTACATCTGCCATTAGCTCATTTACCGCAACTTCGTGTTCACCTGATTTAATCTGTCTATGCTTCATGCATCCTTGAGCATCAACATCACCATCCAGCACTCCAGGGGGCAACTCAGCCAACTCACTTGGAGACATAACACCATCAATTGTTGGAGAATCTGTCATATCTTGTCCAGATTCAGTCAGTTGAAAGGAGATTGATTCTTCTTTATTTTCCTGCACTTTATAGTCCTGCTCATCTCCTAGTTTAAAGTCTGGTTTAGGTCCTGCCTCGATTCTTTCAATGCCACAGCTCTCAGATATTTCTGTAGAATTTTTCTCTAAGTTTCCACCCTCCAGTTCTCCAACCAACATTGGCTCTGATATTTCCATGTTCACGGACTGTCCATGACACCATTCAACTAAATGAGCCTCAGCTTCATGGTTATTTTTTGGTAAAAAACTATCCACACCAGAATTTTCCACCCTGTGTCCATCTTGGATAGATGCATCATTTTTGGTCTCCTTAAGTGCCCCTTCATCTACTCCATTGATTGACTCGTGACCATGTGATGGCTTTTTATCAATTAAAGAGTCTAGCTTCTCCTGAAAACACACAAGCTCTCTAGCAACGGATTTTCTGATATCCCTGATGCTGGGGTGCAAACCCTAATTAACAAGAAAGGAACACATTATCAGTCACTCTCCCAGAAAGAGCGTCCAGACTTGCATAATCTAAGAGACCCAAAATCCAAGAAGTAATAGCAAGAAATGAAAATACAAAGTCTCAACGGAAAAAAAAGAGACAGGCATGATAAGAGTTGTTAATGGAACTGATGGAATAACAATCAAAGATAACAATTAGGATCATTTACTCTCAACATCAAATCACAGTGAATAAACTTCAAGTGAGGGCATCTTTTGGTGAATACATGCATTATATGTGAACTGAAGAAGTTAAACTAGAGCCATAGTCTTGTAAATAAAGGACTTTAGTAAAGAGATTTAATTAAATAAATTCTGGTAACAAGTATTCAAAAAGAGAGTTCAGCATATTATGAAGAATCTAACAAGCTAAAATAAAAGAACCAAATGACTTGATATGTATAACTTAATATGTAGCACTCCTATTGGTTTATCAACATACCTGAACTGTGTCCAGTTTAAGCAGCAGGCTCATTATAGTTTCTCCAATCATGTGTATTTGCTTATTATCGCGTTGGATATCAGAAGATAATTCCATCTCTTGAATAAGAAGCTTTATCACAGCTATCTGCTCACGCACTTTAGCTATTTGCTTCAACTTCTTTAACGGCTCCCATCTGCGAATTGCAAATCCACGATACGCCGACTGAATAACAATAGCTGCTTCCAAATCTGTCAGTTTCTTTATTTCAGGTTCCTTTATTTCATTAGCAATCACTTCTTCACCCCTGGATAATTCTTCTTCCTCCGCTATCTGAGATCCACCATCATTTGATTGACCTCTAACATCTGCTTTATCAGGCCTGGTGCATTCCCTAGAAAGCTTGTCCTCCGTGAACCTTTCATCAGCTTGGTTTGCCTGAATATCCTTTTCAAAGGCATGAGTTGTATTCACATCCACATCTCCTCCTTGCTCAGTTTTCCCTTCCATAACCTCAATAGGTTTTTTGTTGGTCGTCCCGTTCCTGGACTCATCGTCATTGATCACATTTGACTTCACAATTTCTGTTGAACTTGGGACGATGCTTGCTTGATTAGACGATTGATTCAACTTCCACTTGTCACCCGGAGGACTAGGAGATCTTGAGCTTCCATTAGTGTTTTTCCTCCTTGGCAACGGGTCAACTCTCAGACAAACAGGAGGCAGAGATGCTTTCTTAGGAGAAGTGGACTTCCTTTGAGCACTTCCTTCAGTGCATTTCTCATCTCCATTGTCAATAAAATCTTTCACTGAAGCATTGTTTTCTTTTGCCTTGTGATTACCTGAATTCTCCTTTTCATGCAGCTGTTCAACTTGCTTCACAGGAATATCCTTCGTCCTTGAAGGAGCATGGGAAACTTTCACGGAAGCATTGTTCTCTTTTCCCTTGTGATTACCTGTATTCTCCTTTTCAAGCAGCTGTTCAACTTGCTTCACGGGAATATCCTTTGTCCTTGAAGAAGCATTGTGATTAGTACGTTCCCCATTCATTTTTAAGTTGCCTCCACTGTAAGGAAGCTGGAAGGATTCCATGCTTGGTTCTGGACAAACATTGTTCACCTCGCCTTCTTTCTTTTCCATTTCCTCAGGTTTGTAGGGCATCCAGAATATTGGGAATGGGAAGTTGCCCTTACCATCATCTTGTTGATTCTGGTTTCTTACCTGATCTCCACTTTTCTTTAGTGATCCCGAGTTGTTCACGTCATTTGGTAAGACAGCTGGTTTCTGTTCAATAATTTTTCGATTGTCATGCAAATCCTCCTTCTGATCTGTGTATTCCGATTCTTTTGACTTCTTGTGTTCCTCATTATTTCCATATTCAGATGGAAACCACACAATTGGGTGTCGATAATTCTTTAACTGAAGAGGAACCAAGGATTCATTGCTTTTCATTTCCTTGTCAGGATCCTCTTCCTCAATCCTTACATTTTTCTCTTCTTTCTTACTGCGCTGATGGTTAGGACATCCACAACAATGATGATCTCTTGGCATATTCTTTTCGTACTCATACCGTGGATTCCCAATAGAATAATCTGGGACAGGAATATACGGAATTGTATGTGGTGCTTGAAAAGAAGGATGATTTCGATGGCAGTGAACCGGTGGAACATGAGAATGAGGTCTCCAAGCATAGTTTTCCTGGGAATGGCTAGGGTTACAACAGCCATGGCCGTGTACAGGGTAGGAATAGCCATAGCTGCCACCCCAAGGACAACATTCGTAATGCATTGGAAATGGAGCCGGATCAGCATACATTGGAGTCCAGACAGGTTCTGTGCTTGGGTAGTAATAAGGTCTGTAATGTACTTGACCCCTCTGGTAGGGATATGGCTGCATGCATCTGTAGACAGGATCCATAGATATCCTCAATTCAAGAAAAAACGGAGTAGACCCGGAGAGTGTGGATAATTTTCGACACCAAACAACCCAAGTGCGTTGGTTGAATGGAAATCAACAAATCACCTGCTAAATACAAAGCAAAGTACACGATTTACCAATTTATTACCAAACACATAAATGACGTCCAATTTTAACACCCTATCAATTGGTTTAAGAGTATAATAAATCAGAATCCAAGTCTGGATCAATTTACAACTCGGTATCTTCATTTGAACACCAGAATGGTGGCCCGAGGCCTAGAACCACAAATCTCAAGACCAATAATATTTCCCAGGACTAGAATCCAACACATCACGGCTAGACTTGATTAAAAATTGTATATATTTGTTGAAACCAAAATTTAAATAAAATGTGCAGTTTAGGATATGCCACTGCCACCTGTTTAAAAGAATTGGGAATTGATGAAGAAGTAAACCCAAACCAAATCAATTGAATTGTACAAGACAATTCAAACAAGTCTCCAATTAGGAAAAACGAATGATATGAAATACTACGACGATCAAAGTGTAAATAATATTGAAAAGTGACAAATAAAACAACAACATTGATAACAAATTTAAAGGAAAATTAAAATATAGAGCTATGTGTCCATTGCAAGAACACGAAACTAACTGCTCAAAATGAATGAAATGAAAAACACAATGCGATGCAACTCTGTAGAAAAAATTACTTACAATTCGAAGAAATTAAAAACAGAAATGTCCTTCCAAACGGTCCGCAAATCCAAATGACTGAGTTATCGGAGCAAAACTATCACCAACCCCAAAACGAATGAATTTTAAAGAAGAGCTCTTTCTCTGATGATGAGTATTCAGTAATTTATTATCTGACGAGATTCAAATGCTTACAGATTTTGTTTATATATAGAGTTAGAATGAAGCAGCTCTTCTACCATTTTCGAGAGCTTTCGCGTGATATTCAACGTCGAATTGTCTAGAACCACATGGAAATGGCCGTTGGGTTGGGTAATATTACGGTGTTTGCGGGTACAGTTTGAATATCTAGAAATGGGTCCAGTATATTGGTTAGTAGATGACGTGGCTGAATTTAATTCGTGGGAATTGGGAATGGAATGTTTGGAGGTGCAACGGGATGTAGATTAGTACATACCTGCAACTAGAATTAAAATCTTGGTTCCTATCATGATCAACTGTTCAATTTTTTTGTTTTTTAAAGAGTAATGTTATTTATCGAGTTTAACAAAATTAAAGTGGCATCATTTATGTCATTAAATTACATGTTCAATTAAAAATTTATTATTCATTTATTAAAACTCATCACATGTTGACACCTAAATTGGTGTTAGATGATAGCATTATTCTTTGTTCTATTCTATCAAAAATCAATTTCACAATATAGTCCCGGTTTGATTCAGTAAAAAATGAATTAAAATTTAAAGTCAATAATTAACAGCACGTTTTATAAAATTCACAATTTTTCATCCATACATTCTATTAATTTTTATAGAAATTTGTTTTTTATTTAAATCAAACAGAGGCTTAGACGAGGGAGTAAAGTAAAAGTTCATTTTTGACCTTTTTTTGTAACTAGTCTATGACACAGCTTTGTATATAATCTAAATTCAAGGCACATAATTGAATTTTGGAGGGATGAAACAAAAATGAAAAATATAAGACTACCACACAAATTGTAGAAGCTTGAAATATATTAAGTAGTTGTGAAGAAAAAGCAACCTGTGAAAGAATAATTGCCCTTGTGATGAAATTCTCATCTTTCAACAAGTTAATTATCATTGCAAGCTAATTATCTTGGGAAGAAAATGCTGCATTTTATTCTGCTACAACAAGAGTACATGCTTCATAATATAACCCGGGAATCCGAACTTATACACCCGAAGCCAACAAGAGAAACCAAAGAAACAATCACTACAAAAAAACACGGCTTCAGAGACGGAATTTTCCGTCTCTGAA